TAAAATAACTGAAGCTGTTTACACTGTGAAATGAATATCTTACTTACAGATTCATACACACATCTGTAGTTTGTTGTTTCTAACGAGATAATTCGCCAGAAAGAGGTATTCAGACAGCTAGTGAGTGAAGAAAACACAGGCATTTTAGCGATGACTCATCTGAACACCTCTGATTGGTCATTGCATTCATAAGCTCAACAGCATCGTGTGTGATTGGTTATAATGCGCAGTGCTGTAAAAACGTATCTGTCTCAGCGCCAGCCAGCGAACGCAGATTTGAATTTAGCTGCTGATGATATGACGTGCTGAACGATTTAATCACGCTGGTGTGATTGTATCAAATATACAAAATATTATTTGTCTTTTGGAAGCTGCATTCAAAATCCACTTGGCTCAAAAATCTGAGGGGGCACGTGCCCCCTCACTTTGAATGGGCATGACGCCTCTGAGTTATACACACTATTAAAGCGTGAGAATTAACTTGAGCTAGTCTACAAATGCCTCGAGCCTTGGTTTGCGGTCTAACAGCGCTCGTCAGTGTCAAAATAATTGAGACGTTCAATCAAATCAAAGTAGGCGGGGTTTCCTATAATTAATTATTATAATAATAACTGCAGCCAACAAGAGATGTTCTTCCCACACAGCATTAAAAGAGGCTGTATCTTTGAGTCTATATATAAAAAAGTTGAATGAGTGCAAGAAAGTGTAAAAGCAACCCTGATAGTTATAGAAAATATACTGTGGCATTAGGTCAACATATTCTAGATTCTTTCTGTTTGACAAACTCAGACCAAACTACATATACAATTACAAAACACTGAAGTCCCGATATCACAATTGCACACTTTCAAAAAAAAGTACAAAAACTGTCACTTGCAGAACGCTTTCAAATGATACCAATATGCACACCTTTGGGGTAAATATAATACAAAATTTAAAGGGTACTGCCCCAGTGACAGCATTTGTGCCGTTTCTTCTGTCAGTACGCCAAATAAAAAGAAACACAATATTATCACATCATGAGATATCAATATAATATTGTACCAAGGTCCCTGCTGACTCCCAACCTTTGGACTAGTCTTTTATCTGATTGAATTTTATTACCACACACTGTTGTCCATTCATTCTCTTCTTTTGGATCTTTCAGTCTTTTCTTGTCTCAGGTGATGATTGAAGGTGAGTGGTGGTGGAGCTTGTGTCTGTTCAGTGACCTGGAACAGGAGCAAACATAAGAACATGTCAAACAAAAACTCAGCGTACACATGCATCTCTTAAAATAGCTGGGAAACATCACAACATCATTAAACCAGCGTTTTGCTGAGAAACCACAATGTACTCTCCACCAATAGGTCTCTGCAATTTTGATATTATGCATCTATACAAGTCTATTGTTGTTATGACAGCCTGGTGATCCCAGGGGCCATTTTCAATTAAGCCGCTGGCTGTTTACAGGTATTGTGCTGGACTTGTTGTACCCATGCAGCCGGCGCACTTGGCTATTGTGCCAGGGCACAATGGTTAATGAGCTATCTACCCACGAGGACCAAGCAGAACAAATAGACAATGTGCTCTTCCCTCCTACAAAACTCTCTTGTCTAACACATACACACAGACAATGCGCTGCACCTCTGCCACCGAACACACCAATCCAAGACCGACTACTGTAAATATAGGCTACTGCGAGCTCTCTCCTTTGATCTCTGTTTGCATTTCAACATCAAATGAGCTGACCTAACCTTCTCCTTGGGCCATTTAAATGGTAATGTGTAGCAGGGACTGGTTTGGGCAGCCATTCATCTCAAGGTCAAGAGGGCGATCAGACGTGCTCTCTCTGGATTAGCGCAAGACAACAAATGTGTCTTTAACCAACCACATGCACAATGGAGTGCAGTTTTGACACTGTATGATTGAATAAGAGATGCTTTGACCAGAACTGGTCAATGAACAAAATCATAGAAAATGATTGACAGCCAATGAACTGAAGCTTAACTGTTATGTTTCAAACACAATAGAGTAGAAATAAACAGTGTAATTACTAACACTATAATTTATAGCATACAGTTTTTATAACATTACAATTTTTCTTTTATTTGATTAGACAAGCTTTTGTAAACCTGCTGACACAGCCAAAAAAAAAAAAAAAGATTATCATGAATAAAGTTAAAATAGTTACATTTATTAAAAGAAACAAAGTAGAAATTACAAGAAATAGGGCCTAGTTACACTGCAAGATATACATGATGTAATTGCGAGATATAAAGACAAAATATAAAAGTTATGAGAAAGTCAAAATTACTAGAAATAAAATTGTAACAGAAATATAGGTTTAGTCACACTGTGACACAAAGACAATATTGTGAGACACACTGTAACAATTCATGACAAAAATTGCAAAAAAATAAAGATATTCAAGAAATATAAAGTCACAATTACAAGAAAAAAAACCTTGTAATTACGAGTAACTAAGTTAAAAATAAGAGAAATAAAGTATAAATTGAGAAATATTGTGCTTCGCAATATAAATATGTAATTGTGAACTGTCATTAATAAGAGAAAAAGTCACATTGGGAGATATAAAGCCGAAGTTATAAGAAATATATAGTTATAAGAAATTATGAGAAAGTTGAAATTGAGAATTATCACAGTCTGATATATGCAAATATAAAGTCATAATACGAGACAAAACCACAAAAAACAACATCAAAATTATGAGAAACAAAGTTCTAAATACAAAAAACAGCTGAAATTTCGAGAGAAAAAAAATTGAAAACAAAATGACAAGAAAGTCAAAATTCCGAAATATCACAATGTATTGTATAATAAATACACAATCAGTCACATTAAAAAAAAAGTCACATTAAAAAAAAAGTCACACTGGCGATATGAAGTCACGATTATGAGAAATAAATTGCAATTGTGTGATATATAAAGTCATTTTTTTACTCTGTGGCAGAAGCAGGCTTTCATAAAAACAAGCCAGACCAGCACTTGTTACAAGTAGCCTACAAACCCTTCAGAAATGGAGCATTACACATGTTCATATTCATGTTTAGTGTTACATTAACTGTATGTCATACAAAGACAACCAGTAACATCTAATGAACAGAAAAGCAAACACACACAGAAGCGCAGGTCTTCTCAAAGCATTTGTGAGTGGCTTATTGGGTAGGTGACATCACATGACTCACGCTACAACAGAGTGCATGCAGGCAGCCAGAGCAAATCCAGTGGCCCTTGAGCAGGTAAGGAGATAAAATGCTGTCCGGATTTACATGCCACAAGTGATGCAGAGAAAGAGCCACCTCGCTCCACACTGCCACATCAAAGCAGGCCAGGTTATTAACGGGGCATGAAGAGCACTGAAGAACTCGTATCACATCTCACTATTCCGATTCGAAACGTACAACACACACACACAATATTTTAAATGCCTAATTCTGACATTGATGTGAGGCCTTGTTCACTGTCAATGCCCCTCACAATTCATTAAGCAACTTATTGGGCAAAAGATTCAAAATGCATGTTAATTTAATGGGGTTTCTGGTTGGGGGGAAATTATATTAAAAAAAAAGCTTTGATGTTCACAAAACTTGGCAGTCAATCATTTTGCACTGAATTACAGCATTAATGAAGAACGGCGAAACAATGAGGGACGCTATTGTTTCAAACACATGCATGTTAATGTTCTCCATTAGAATGCATGTAATCGTTTCAAAAACCATTAAAGTGGCCCGGTTCGTGTTCGGTACAGGTAATTTCTGCGCCCTTTGTCTTCTAACCTGCTTCTAAGGTTAATCTGATCATGTACACTCTTAAAAATAAAGGGGCTTCACGATGCCATAGAAGAACCTTTTTGTCTAAATGGTTCCATAAAGAACCTTTAACATCTGAAGAACCTTTCTGTTTCACAAAAGGTTCTTTGTGGCGAAAGAAGGTTCTTCAGATTATAAAAAGGTAAGAAAGAGATGGTTCTTTGTGGAACCAAAAATGGTTCTTCTATGGCATCGCTTGAAGAACCTTTTGAAGCACCTTTATTTTTAAGAGTGTACATCTTAAACTGCCTGATACAAAGGTAGATCAGTTCAACAAACCCACTCAGTTGCTACTGATTTCAAAATAAAACCAAGGCCTTTAATAAAAAAAAAAAAGCAGCTACTTACTCCACCTGTAGTAAAGCAGTCATATAAGACTTAAGGGTAATAAATTCTACCAAGCAAGAATACCCATGGCAGAAGCATTTCAACAAGATACACACAACAGGTTAAAGCCAAGCCCACCCACACTGATTTAATTAAAATGCAAACAAACTTTAATGAGGCTGTTAAAACGACTTATAAAATGACAACAAGATTACATTTTACTCCCCGAGTCTAAGAGTGGAAGCACGCTGACATTTATACAGGCAAACAGAAGTGATAGATTGAGGTCAGATGGAAACTGTGTCTTGGTTTGTCGCATTTTCAGCATGTGTTGATCCATCTGGAGTTGTGAAGGCTGGATAATCAGCACAAGCCACACGAGCATGTGCCGCGGTTGCGGGAGCGGGAAATGTGCAATGTGCACCATGCTTTTGCATAGTCAAATAACAACTCGGTTGAATCAATAATTTTGGTCCACTAAACATCACGGTTACCTCACACAAACTGAGAGCAGCTTTTATGTGAAAGAAACAGCCTTATAGAGGCCTATATTTTTTATACTTTCACTTAATCACTCTGAAAATATAGTAGCATCCAAATAATGCTTATAATCATCCTAAAAAATTATTTATTCTTTAAAAGATAGTTCTAAAAAGGATTTATCCTAAGGGATAGTTCACCCAAAAAATGGAAATTCTGTCATCATTTGTTTACCCTTATGTCATTTCAAACCTGTATGACTTTCTTTCTTCTGTGGAACATACAATAGGTATTTTTCCCCTCTATACAATAGTAGTAAATGGTAACCAAAACTGTTTACACATTCTTCAAAATAACATCATTTTATTTCAATATCAGAAAGTAAGTCATACAGGTTTGGAACCAAATGAAGGTCAGTAAATGATGACAGAAATTTCATTTTTGGGTGAACTACTCAATTTAAAGGGATAGTTCACCCAAAAGTGAAAATTTAGTCAAAATATGCAACTAAAAGAGAAAAATATTCACAAATATCTAACACATACTGAATAGTAAACATCTGATACATTATTATACACAGTACTATTCTACACCTGTATAGTTTTTGATTTAATGCCTCCACTAAAAACTCACGTGACCTGTAGCTGTCTGTATTCAGTGTCTTTGGGACAATATGAAGTGTTTTATGAAATAAAAAAAATTTCCTTAATGTGGATGGAAACCCAAAATTAACATTTTTAAAACCAATAAACTACTCACTTACCACTATGGGTGTCCAGTGCTTCAGTTGAGGTCATGGGCAGGTGCAGTGACGCTTGATTCCACACATTTATTAGGCCTACAGCCTTCACAGCAATGTTTAATCTTTAGGTCAACTCGACTATATTTATGGTTTTCACTCTATTCTTGTGTAGCAGGCAGCCCCACATTGATTCCAAAACACAAAGGCGCTTCCAAGTCGAAGGAATACTGCTATTGCCTGTTATTTCTTCGATTACAGCTCAAAATGTATCACAACGAGCACAGCTAGGTTCCCAAGGGAGAAAGGAAAATTAATTAAACGCGACTCTACTTCGTGCTCACACTTGTCATCTTATATCTCGGGCTTTTCACCACCCTCGCTGCACACATAGCGAGAAGCCTGTTCCAATTAGTTGTCAGGCCCTTCATTCTCGCTTGGTTTCTGCGCGTGGTACCCGCGTGCGAAACAACAGGCTGTCGGGAAACCTGCGCGCACCACTGCCTTACAGGCGAAAACCTGTGCTTATCTCTTCACACAGGTTTCACCATGTACAGAGACGTCCGGGAATATTAATCTTACATTAAAACGATTAAATAACCGGTCGCTCCAAATTGTTTTACAGTTTTAAAGATTGGTGTTTGCTTAAAGTTGGTTATGGAAATGGGTTGGTAAAGTTGATGATCAAGAATGAAGATGTCAGCGGAATGAAGTCCACGTAAGATATTTTTTAATAAATCAAAAGCTAATTGTTTGTTTAAATTTGCCAGTGCATAATATTAGGGGGGGGGGGGTTAGTGATTTGAATATTCACAAGGTCTAGCACGTGATAATAGAAAGGGCTAATGTAAATAATGACCGGTTTTACTGTATAGTATCTAGTTTACGGCTATGTACGAAATAACTAAATAAATTTCCATGAAATATAAATTTCAGTTGAAATTATTTGAAGATTGGCTTTTATGAACAAAAATAGTCCTTAATATAGTCCTTAACATCCAATCACTTCTAGTCTTTTTTCTTAAGTTTTATTCTCAGTCAATTTAATACTAAACTGAATTCTTCCAAGACCATTTTTACAAAGGTATTAACCGTTTTTACTTTCTGCGTTGATAAGAAAATAGAGAAATTCGCGAAAGTAGACTCGGTTTGATGCTGTCAACTCTGTATGCTGGGGAAATTGTCACCACGTGCCCTCTACTGGTGAAAAAATAAATAAATAAAGTGGTAACTGTACGTCCAGCAGATGTTTCAGATATCTGTGGATATGCATGATCAGAAATATGCGGGGTTTTCCATTTTAGTGACATAAACAGGAAAATAGTTCCACTAGTAGAAAGCAAATTTTTCTTCTAATCTTCTATCAATCCTACTACTAATAGAATTTTGAGGGAAAATCGGCAGTACAGTAAAGATATTCACAAATTCACAAAAAAGAAAATACTCTTAATATACATTTAATATTATTTACAATGCAATACATCTTTCAAAAATAAAATAAATATAAAAACAAAAGCTGTTGTGTGAAAAACATGACACAAACAGGCAGCCAAACTGCTGAGGTGGAAGTAACAAGGTCAATGCCATATGAAGCAAGTCACAAACAAGGTCAAACAATGTCAGATTAGCTGCAGCAGCAGTAGTCAGTCATCTCGCTCACAGACCAGAATGATGACGATTGAGAAAGAGAAAACTGATGGAATGGGGAATATACACAATGTGAGCAACTGTAGAAACAGCAGAATGTAAAAGCACCTTGTTGCCCAGGCATCTTTATTGCTGCACTGGAATCAGTGACAAAGCCAATAGCACAACAGTTTGTATGTTATTGTATTGAATAGTATTATTGAAATGCATGGTCTCAACAAACTATTGTGACACTGAAACACTAATATTGACAATTATTTGAACACACCAGTTGGTATTTTGCCTCTGGCTGGTTTACTAGGCCATAAAAGGCATAACTGAGAAACAGAGAGAGACTGAGCATTCCGGTGAGTTTTCAGCCATTGCCACCAGGCATGCTTTAGGTCAGACCAATGTCTGTCTGTCTCTGGTCTGGTCAGAGAATTGATTCCACTCTGGGAGCTGGGCTGCAAACAGATCCCTGCATCTCTGCCCGTCTGGTCAGTGACCTCACTCTTTAGAGCTGACAGCCACTTCATCATGTCCAGTACACACCAGACAATCCCAAAATGCCCTTAAAGGATTTCTGCATGACGGCAACTTTTTGGCCCGAGCAATATTGATTTCTCTTGTGTGTAACAATGGTAAAGCACTCACACAAGATGAGTGAAAACATGCTCACGTGCCTCAATACATTCTGTATAGTACAAAGCAACCTTTAAATACATTTGCTGGTATGATGAATTTTCCTTTAAAACCTGTTGATAATGCAATATAACATTCACAAGATAATAACATCACATTTTCAAATGTCACATACAATCAAGCTAAAAAAAAAAACAGAGACATATAGTACAAAGTCACAATGAGATCTACTTCTGTGCCCTGAACACAGTTATTATTTATTATTATCATAATCTTTTATTTTATCCAGTGTTAAACACTGCAGACCACAAATGAATGCAGTCTGAAACTGCCAAATGCCCCTTCAAAACATTCATTCAATTTCAATTAAAGGCATGGGTTGTGTGCCATTCAGAATCGAATTGAACGTGCCTTTTCAATTGAGAATGCCATTTAGGTTTCACAATTTGAATTGCATAATGGCAATTCAAATGTGAAATGTAAGGAAATATAATTTAAAATAAACAATCTTTGAAAAGTCAAGACTAAAATAAATGCAATGTAATTTTCAGTTAGAAAAGTGAAGTTTGTAAGAACAAACTTTGAATGTTAGCTTGACAAAGGCTTTTTTTTTTTTAGGTTTTAAGATTTATAGGCCTTATGGACAGAGATAGATAGATAGATAGATAGATAGATAAAGAGATTTTTACACAACCCTTATCAAATGAATTGATGCACAGTACATATGCTGTAGAGTAAATTACTACAACTAAACAGTAGAGGGAGCCAAAACACCACATTAACCAATAAATAACAACAACATTTACAACGCTTAGTGTAAAAGGTGCAAAACATGCATACATGCACATATAAAACATCCCATGCCTCCTTTATGAAATCCTTCAAAACAAATGAAAACAAAGAACAGGAATCTTTCTCCAAAACAATTGTGCTTTGCCTAAGACCAACAAAGGCTTGTGCATTGGTTCTTTCATTTGCAGTGCTATGTGTGTTTCAGTGTGAATTCAGTTTAAAAACTGGAGTGGGGGGCCTGGATTTCCCGTTCCACACTTGGCATGCTGGGTGTATCCCGACAGACCAGCCTGTGGCGGAAGTGTCCGCTCAGCAGAATGTAGATGAAGGGGTTTATGCTGCTGGCGGCGTAGCTCAGGCACACAGACAGGTAGTAGCAGGTGTGGTACGCTAATGAGGGGCGAGGTATGCTCAGGTTAACCAGCTGCAGGACGTGATACGGCCCAACACTGACCAGGAAAACTGCTACGAGAACCAGGACCATTTTAGTGAGGCGGACCACACGCTCTCGAGGCAGGCTGGTGTTATACCTGAGAGAAAGTAGGGAATGTAGGATTTGGTCCTAAAGTATGTAGCCTAAACATGAAATATACATTTAGGGTAGTTACACACAGTGTTCTAATATATAATCCTAAGTAGGCTAATTACAGTTAAAGGTACAGTTCACCCAAAAATAAAACATTTGTTATCATTTACTCACCCTCATGTCATTCCAAACCAGTATGACTTTTTTTCTTCTTCTGTGGAACATAAAAGAAGATTTTGACGAAAGTTGGTAACTAAACAGTTTTGGTTCCCACTGATTTGTCCCATTGACAAGAAATACAATGGAAGTCAATGGGAACTGAAACTGTTTGGTTATCAACATTCTTTGAAATAAATTATTTTGTGTTCGGCAGAAGAAAGAAATTACTGCAGGTTTGCAACTGCATGAGTTATAATTTTTGGGTGAACTATCCCATTAATATGTAAATACCAAGGCAGAGCAAAGCTTAATGGAATATTACGGTTTCAAGTTATAAGCTCAGTCGACAGAATTTGTGACATATTGTTTATCACATCAAAATGAATGTCCGCTTGTCTCTCCTTTTCTTTACTAAAAGCAAAAAACTGGGTTGCAGTGAGGCATGGCAATATCATGCCATAAAACCTTAAACCCTGAAAACTGTATAAAATGATTATTTAAACATCTTTACAGCTCAAATCGTACACAACTTTTAACAGAAATAATTATGTAGGTGCTTTTATATAATTCTTAGCTTAGCTAAATCGGCTGCATTTATGTCCACTGTATATGTATTTTTGTTTTTAAGAAAACATTGTATTGAATCTGTAATATTTTTGATAGATATTACTTATAATGCATGGTTTAGCCCATAAATTCTACATCAGTATGCACTGTCAATCTAAAACTAAAACATTTCTATTGTATAAGAAGGATAACTCTCGAAAGGGATATCACATCTGCACAGCTTCATACGAGAAATTCACTTATTCACTTTGCAGATATTCCCTTAATGGAAGGCAAATTAAATATTAATGAAAGAAACCAGTGTAGACCAAGCTAGAAAAGTCAAGCCAGTGACTTCACAAGCAATTAAATTGGCAGATTTGCCAGTTTTACATCACATACTTGCTGTAATGAAAGGAAAAGTCACCTGTGAGCCTTTTTGTTCTTGCGATACATTCTCCAGGAGTAGCAGAGAATCAGTATATAGCAGATGAGAATGAGAGGTAATGGCAGGAAGAAGGAGGTCACAGTCTGGTAGAGTGTATACCTACAGATATAGGAGGACACATGCTGTCAATCATGAGTGAGAAGAGCCTTAAACCCTCCACATCTCCCTCTCTACAGTAAGTTTCACGTCATTTATTTTAATTAAACAAGAAGGATGGATTCCTCAGAGCTGCAGACTTCTGTACATGCAATTTTCTGGTGAAGAGGAAAAGATACTGACAGAAAAAACAAAAAACTATGGTATTATTGTGTTGCTTAAAAGTGAAGCTTAAAAGTGAAGTTTTAAGTTATGTGCCACTATGCTGAAAGGCAGCTTTCACAGCAGATAACAACAGAAAATTCAGTCAAAGCAAGACTATTTCAATAAAAAACAAGCGATCGAAGAGATTGAAGGATCATCAGACCTGAGTAGCAGGTTATAGTACACAAGTAAAGCAGAACCAATTACCAGAGCACTTCTTTGGGAGAGACCAGGTTAAGGGAACAGCTCTCTAGCCCGTCCCTGAAGCGGATCACTTTGGCATAAACCCAGGCAGGCAGAACCATGATGAAAGAGGCCGCCCACACAAACAGGTTAATACGGATCGTCCTGGATCTGGTCCTGAGACTCAGTAGGCGAAATGGATGAACAAGGGCCAGGTATCTGGAGGACAAAATATAAAACAATGTAGATTTTACTCCCCATATGTGTATTTTCACAGAAATGCGTGTTGTTTTATCATTCAATCAGTTGTATGATATCTATGAGAAGCAAAAAGTTCGATTTAAAAAATCCATCCATTCTAATCATCACATATATTATGTAACAATTTATGAATATGATATATTGTGCAAAACATATGTGCGAAGAATCTGACCAAAAGTGTGAGAATTCACGTGCAGCAATAACTTGATATTTTGCTTTTTGAACTTCACAGCACTTTGGGGTCAAACTGTTGTTCTTAATTGTACTGTTTAAATGAATAATGAGTTTACTTGTCTTATCTATAATTGTGGTAAGAGTGGCCTCTAGTGGTGAGATTACAGAGTCGCAGCTCGAAAGGAGACGATGATGCAATTGGTTTGAACTTTGTGCTGCATAAAAGCAACATTGCTGCACTATGAGGCACAATCTGAAAACTATATGCAATGGAGAATATTCACAATGGAGAAGCTTCATCAAAACCTAATCAACTTTTATCAAATGCCATCATAGCTCTAACGATTAAGTGACTAACAACTCACTTAAAATCATTCTCAATGATTTCACTGAGAATCATAGGTAATTCTTAAAGATTTTGTCCAAATCTGTGATTAAATGCATGCACAAACCTTGAAGTCTTCACTACAAAATAAGCTATTAAATATTTGCACCATTTATTACAATATTCATTCAAAACAAAAACAAAATGGCTGGTGAAAGTGGTGATGTATCAAGTACCACTGAAATATTTATTTGATCTTATTATTTTCTGTTGCAATACATGTCCTACTCTCTCAAATTTTGGGGTAAATATATTCTTTATGTATTTATTTACAGTTGTGCTCAAAGTTATTCATACCCTTGGTAAATATGATCAAAGAAGGCTGTGAAAATAAATCCGCATTGTTTATCCACTTGATCTTTCATTCAAAAATGTAAAAAAAAAATCTAACCTTTAATTAAAGTAAAAAAAAAATAAGAGGACGTGTGTCTATATTGTCCTAATGCACGGTGAGGAGTAGAGTTTGAGTGGCCAAGTACTCCAAGGATCACAGCTGAAGAACTGCAGAAAATAGTTGAGTCTTGGTGTCAGAAAGCCTAAAGAAAAAAACAAGAAAAAAAAAAACTAGAAAAGAAAACGCTCTCATCCAAAAACAAACTCCAGCATATTTATTTGCTAGACACGACTGGAACATTAAACGGGACTGGGTTCAATGGTCAGATGAAACACAGCAAACACTCAAGATGGGTTTGGTACACACAGGGATACAAAAGTACCCCATGTGTACAATGAAATATACTGCTGGATCTTTATTGTTGTGGGCCTATTTTTCTGCCGGAGATCCTGGATATCTTGTTCAGATAGATGGCATAATGGATTCTATAAAAATAAATTTTAAAGCTTTTGCCCTGGCCAACCCAGTTCCCTGAGCTGAACCCTATAGAAAATGAGTGTGGTGAACTGAAGAGGAGAAGCATCAACATGCAGCTGGAAATCTGAATCTTTGCGTGAAAAATGAATCAGATGTTAAATGTATAGCTGTAGCTTCTCACTTAATTCTTATTTTAATACAGCTATCCAATTATTAAAGCTACCAAATCCAATTACAACCTTTCAATCATGATTTAAAAAATGTTCTTAAATCTTCATAAACATCCTTTATTATTTGCTGTGATCGCATTATGGTTTGTTTTTCTTTGAAATTCGACATATTTTTTAACTACCTTTACACAGGTATTCGTCTATGTATAAAGAGAAAATTTTCAACCGTATATCCCACCATACCAGGTAGAGCTATTGTGAAATGTGAAGGAAGTGGATTATGTTTTCCATAAGCAATCACGAATTTAACACGTCATCAAGTAAATGTGTTGTTTTATTTTTTATACAAACAAATGCAAAGTAAATAAATTAAAATGAGAGTTTTCCTTATCAACTTGTAAACTCACCTTAAAATAGTCACCAAAACAAGAATATTTCCAACAAGCCCGGTGGAGCACAAAAATCCAATAAATGCAGGGAGAATTTTGGTTTCCGTGACGTGAACAATGTTATAATACTCGAAAAAAAAAATGGATCACTAGTAAAATGATTATTGTTATATTTGCAGAAAAAAAACACTTAATAATGCTTATCTTAATAAAGATCTGGAAATCTAATTCATTTCTTTTGAGCATGATTTGAACCACACAGCATCAATATTGCACTGATTACATACCTGTCCAGACTCATAGCGGTCATGACTGCAGCGCACGCCACCTGGTTGCAGTTATCAAGAGAGGTGATGATGGTGCAGAGCGTGCTGCCGAACACCCAGTGCCCTCCACGCGCCCACTGGTGAATCAGGAACGGCATGACCGTCACGTGGATCAGGTCGGCCACAGCCAAATTCCCCACATACACATCTGGCACTGTCTTTTTGGCAGACCTGCAAGAAAAACAAGAAAGAACTCGTTGTGATCTGTGATCCCTTGATGAGATACTGCTAAAGAAACATCAAATCAGTGAAAATAATTATGGCAAGTTGTAAGCGGCAATAAACAGGATTATGTAACCTCCAGTGAGTGACAGCTCCAGTGCGGTTGGGTCATGGCTAATTCCTGAATGAATCCATCCACTGGAGCAGTGAAAATCCTCAGAGGAATTCCTTCACAGCTAATTAAAGAGGCTACTCATATCAGTCTTTTCTAGTGCCATGGTCCACAGCTCACATTACTGTTCAAATCAGCCTCATTACTGTTTGGTGTGGCCCTTATGTGCCATATTTCAGAATATGGTATTATTTATGTATGAATGTATGCATGTATGTAGACTCTGTCTGTATTTATGTATATATGTATGCATGTATGTACGTATGTATGTCCAAGCAAAATTAATTGATACTTTTTAATTTTGATGGTCAATAATTATGTTCATAATGGAAAGCAAATGAAAAAAAATCTGTGCTGTATATATATATATATATATATAGGAGAATTTTGGTTTCCGTGACGTGAACAATGTTATAATACTCGTCTGCTGGATATCCTGCTACTGTCTCATTAGCGCACGTGCTGTTGTCTAATTTGAGCGTAAAGTTCCAAACAACAGGTTCCAACTCCACCATGGCGTTCATCATTTGCGCTGAAATGCGGCACACGTACTTGTCTGTTCATGGAAAGTCCTCGTGGGTTTCAGCATCCTCATCATACCACACAGTGCGCACTGGCGTCTCCACTCTCACCAGCGCGCGCACATACGCAGCTCCTTGTTACCAGTCCGTGACTCACTCCAACTCGATATCATTGACTGGTATTATTGATAAGGATTTTACTCGATTTCATCGGTCCTTCTTCATTAGCCAATCAAACTGTACTATACCTATTGAGCCAATTTAACTTTATTGATTATTTGCACCGAAGTGGAAAGAATGTGCTACATTTACAGTGTAATTTAGGAAAAAAGTAACAACTGAAACATATCAAAAGACATCAAATATACAGTAAATGTCATTAACACTTGGCATAATTTATTTTTTTAATCAGTTGTTTTGAACACTGATAATAATAATCAATGTTTCTTGAGAATGATTTCTGAAGGATCACAAAACACGGAAGATGGAGTAATGACGGCTAAAAATTAAGCTTTGACATCAAACGATTTTTTTTTTGTTCAAATAAATGCAGCCTTGGTGAGCCTAAGAGACTTACATTTACATTTATATGCAGTCTCACAAAAAAAAAAAACCCTGAAAATGTAAGAAATTATGCTTTAATCAGGGCTCCATAAGAACCTCTTTTATTTCACCTTGTGAATTCATTGGCAAAAAAATATTTATATTTTACATTCATGCATTAGTCAGACAATTTATTCAAAGTTGCTTATTCAAGGTTTATTTAATCAGTTCATGTATTTCATTGCAATTGAACCATGACCTTGGTGTTGCTAGCGCCACACTGAGCTACAGAGAAAAAGCCAAAGAGCCTCCCATCTGATCATTTTCTTAGCAAGGTTAAATCAATCCTTTGGATGAGAAAAAGTATTAATGATATTCATTGGCATAGCTGTACCACCATAAGCAAACTCCCTGAATGAAAGAGCCTTAATGAAAAGCAAACGGTGCTATCATGCAGTGTTCCTGCGTAGTGATACCTTGGTTACACTTCTACATGTGTCAACACTGGCCATAAAGTACAGTGAAGATCATAAAAAGACAACTTCTCTTTTCTAACATGGAATTTGCCTTTTACAATTTCACATTTTCTTTAAAAAAGAACACTTTTTTATATTAATGTACTGAAGCCATAACTGCACATATAGTTCATATGAAATGACAGGCAGAGGCAGAAAACTTGTTTTGAGTGCATTAAAAATGAATCAAAGGCTTTATCTTAGAATCCATTGAGGGCAGTAGATCTCCTTTCCAGTGTGAGTTCCTTATCTTTATTTAGATTTCTTTAAACATTTATCTGCAAAATATCACCTTAGATGTCTGCTACAAGTATAGGAAACTTCTCATTAAACATGATTAACATGCACATCCCATGATTTCCCACTGTGGGAATGACGTAAATGTGCAGCTAAAGAATGTAGCCTTAGATTATAATTGGAGTGTCTTAAATTCTCAAATTTTTAGGGTATTCCCAAAGGAACAGCATGTTCCAGCAGCATAGATCTTAGCACTTGGTCCATGTGCAACAAATTGCAGTAATTGAGATATCCAGGTAAAGAGAGATGAGCCTAAATCCATTATCTGAATACTTATTAAACACTGTGCACTGCACAGACCTTTTCAAATGAACAAATAATACATTATATTTCCTTAATGGAATTTTGTATTGGTTTTACAAACTCTCTCTCTCTCTCTCTCTCACTCTCTCTCTCTCTCTCCCTCTCTCTCTCTCTATATATATATACATACATACATATATACGTATACATATGCATATACAGCAGGTAAAATAACTATTGAACACCACCATTTTTCTCAGTAAATATATTTCTAAAGGTGCTGTTGACATGAAACTTTCACCAGATGTTGGTAACAACCCAAGTAATCTATACATACAGAGAAAATAAAACAAATAAGTTCAGAAATTAAGTGCTGTGTAATAAAATGGAATGACCCAGGGAAAAGGTATTGAACACGCTTACTGAAATTTATTTATTATACTTTGTACAAATGCCTTTGTTGTTAACGACAGCTTCAAGACGCCTCCTGTATGGAGAAACTAATCGCATGCATTGGTCAGGATTGAGCCCATTTTTCCACACAAACAGTCTTCAAATCTTGAAGATTCTGTGGGCCTCTTCTATGAACTCTGATCTGTAGTTCTTTCCATAGATTTTCTATTGGATTCAAGTCAGGTGATTGGCTGATGATCTTCATCATCCTGGTAGATGGCAGCAGATTTTTTATCAAGAATGTCTCTAGAGTGTACAAGAATGTATCAAGAATGTACATTTTTCCATTCATCCTTCCTTCAATTATATGAATTTTGCCAGTGCCACACCATGATGTTATTGGGGTGATGTGCAGTGCCATTTGACCTCCAAACATGGAATGTATTATGGCATCCAAAGAGTTTAATTTTGGTCTCATCGGACCAGACAATATTCTCCCAGTATTTCACAGGCTTGTCTAAATGTGGTGCAGCAAACTTTAAACGAGCTTCAACATGCTTTTTCTTCAGCAATGGAGTCTTGCATGGTGAGCGTGTCTACAGGCCATGGCGGTTGAGTGCATTACGTCTCTAGGTTACGTATGTAACTATGGTTCCCCGAGGGAACGAGACGCTGCATCGAGAATCGCTTTGGGAACGCCCCTGCGTGACCGCGTTCTGAAGCACGTGTAAAATCAGTCCAATGGAGCAGCGAGACGTCATGAGCGGGGTGACGTGAGCACCAGGAAGTATAAAAGCGCATCCGGCAGAGCGCAAGTTAGCTTAGATGAAGTAGCACCTGGAGGGATGCAGGGAGTATGGCAAAGAATGCGAAGCGAAGGGGGATTCCCCCTCGGCGAAAATCCCTTGGTCCTGTGCCACCACTGCAAGGGTCTCATGTACAGCAGGCCAAAAGGTATCACCTTGGATGCCGCTGCCATCAAACCCAACAGCCTCTGAAACTGTTTGACAGTGAGTGACTGGCCTTCTCTTACTCTCTTGACTGTCATGAGGATTGACTCTATACGAGCAGGAGACAAACATGCCTGCATCGTGGTAGAATCCCACACCACGCCTAAATAAGTGGTTCTCTGTAGTGGAGAAAGAACACTCTTCTTGGCGTTTAGTCTTAACCCCAGCTCTCTCATATGGGCGAGGACGACATCTCGATGCCGAGCCGCCATCTGCTCCGATTGAGCTAGTATTAACCAATCGTCGATGTAATTGAGTATGCGGATGCCCTGGAGTCGCAGAGGAGCCAGAGCAGCATCCACACACTTCGTGAAAGTGCGGGGTGAGAGTGACAGGCCGAAGGGAAGAAATCGATATTGGTATGCTTCGCCCCCGAAAGCAAACCTCAGGAACTTCCAGTGTTGAGGAAGGATGGAAACATGGAAATAAGCGTCTTTGAGATCTATCGTAACAAACCAGTCCTCGGACTGGATCTGAGATACTATCTGCTTGATAGTGAGCATCTTGAACCAAAGCCGTTTGATAGCGCGGTTCAGAAGACGGAGATCTAAGATCGGACGCAACCCCCCCATCCTTCTTCGGAACGATGAAGTAACGACTGTAAAACCCGGACGCTCTCGAGAGAGAGAGGAGGAACACGTTCTATGGCCCCCTTCCTCAAGAGAGTATCTACTTCTTGTTCCATTACCAGAGCCTGCTCGGGGCCCACTAGTGTGGGGATGACCCCGTTGAAACGAGGCGGACGAGAACCGAACTGGATTCTGTAACCTTTCTCTACAATCTGCAGGACCCATTGTCAGATATTTGGTAGAAGTTTCCACGCTGCCAGAAAATCTACTAAGGGAACCAGCCTCTCGAGGCTGGCCTCTGGTTTTATTAGAGGAGCCAGTTCGGTGCCCTGAAGCGGATGACCGGCAGGGAACAACCGACCTGACTGCTGTAGCCCCTTCACTTGAGGGGGCGAGCTCTTCCGTGCCGTACCGTTGCCGGGCGGCAGCAGGGATTTTCGCTCGTCGGAGCTCACTGAGCCCTGAAGCACCGAGGTGGCAGGGGTATCAATGAACCTCCGTGAGGGCACCGAGGGAACAACCGACCTGACTGCTGTAGCACCCTCACTTGAGGGGGCGAGCTCTCCCGTGCCGTACCGTTGCCGGGCGGCAGCTGGGAATTTCACTCGTCAGAGCTCACTGAGCCCTGAAGCACAGAGGTGGCAGGGGTATCAATGAACCTCCGTGAGGGCACTGAAGGAACAACCGACCTGACTGCTGTAGCACCCTCACTTGAGGGGGCGAGCTCTCCCGTGCCGTACCGTTGCCGGCGGCAGCTGGAATCTTCGCTAGTCGGAGCTCACTGAGCCCTGAAGCACCGAGGGTGGCAGGGGTATCAATAAGCCTCCGTGAGGGCACTGAGGAGGATTGGGCACCGTATACTGAGGTGTTATCCTTTCCTCTCCAGGTGGGCTGCCCTCAGGGACCTGACAATGGTAGGACCATTTCGCCGAGGTCCTCTTAGACAAATAACGGTCCGCAGATCCGTTTTCGGTCTAGAAGACCCCAACTGAGAGCATCGCCCCGACCCCCGATCTTTCTGTGGAGGGGTGCGGGTTGCAACGCTCTGTTTTTGAGACTGATGATATGAGGAGCTTGATGGCTTGGGCTGCTGCCGCTCAGCAGCCCCACCCCTGAGCAGGTCAGCCTGGTATGCTTGTAACACCGCCATGGTATGCAAACATGCGCCAGCCTGACCTACCGCCGTATAAGCTTTCCCAACCAGACTCGATGTAAGCCTAACGGGCCTGGTGGGAAGCTTCGGGGCCTTCAGGGACGATGCTGAGGATGGGGAGAGATAGCTCGCAAGCGTCTGCTCCACCACTGGCATCGCCCCATATACCTTATCATTCAGCCCCACGATGTTCTTTTGAATAATTCGAGACTGTGGGGCTGTAATACGGGATGAGTACGGTTTCTCCCACGATCTTGACACCTCAGCATGGAGATCGGGG